TAATTTTATGATTATTTTTTATTAAAAATAAAAAATTTTAAATTTGAATAACATAATATACAAATGAAATAAAATATTTTAATTTAATTTAATTTAATTTTTTTATCTATTTAAATAATTTTATGATTATTTTTTATTAAAAATAAAAAATTTTAAATTTGAATCACATAATATACAAATGAAATATGATAATAGATGGAAGATGATTATTTTTTATTATGTAATTAATATAAAATATATATAATTTAAAAAAAATGAGGGTTAATGAAAGAAAAATAAAAGTCGTCAAAGATAAAAACTTGACCAAGTCGATTATGCATGCGTTCACACACTGCTGCTGCTGCCCAAAAACGGGGTTTGACTTTCTGTTCCTTTTCGAACGCCATCATTTGCCACTTGCCAGTTTGCATTTTCTTCATTCCCAAGCAATACTTTTCTTTTGTCCACACCCCAACAACAGTCCATTATATACGCACCATAACTTAATGTCATTGGTTCTTCATGTTTCAGAGTCTCAGTTTAGAATTGCTTGTCCGAGAGAATTATTACTACCAAGGAAGCTTATTCATCGTATACCTTTTCTTCTTCAACTACTAGGCAAGAAGAAGTGGCTCATTCATCACTTCATTCAGTGCGTAGGCCATCAATGAAGCCATCAAAGAAGCCAATAGCGCCACAGCCTCCAACAGCACCGAGAGTTTACAAGGTAGAACCTGTAAACTTCCGGAACTTGGTTCAGAAGCTGACTGGTGCGCCAAAGTTCAGGTCTCAGCCCCAGCGTCTGCGTAGTGTGGCGCCTCCTCCGGTTACAGTTACCTCTTCATCACCCTTGTTTGGGAGTGATATTGCAGTATCACCATTGCAGTTCTTTCCTTCCTCTTTAGAGACAAAATCCCAGATGTGGTCACCGTCCTCTAATGATTGGTTTTCCTTCCCCGTTCTGAGTCCAGGAGCACTTTCCAGCTTGGAACAGAGCACCGTGCCATAATTAATTAAGTTGTATTTCAAACCAGATATCAATTTTCCATTTGTCCTGCTTCCTTTTTTTTTTTTCCTTTTCGTTAGCTGCAATAACAACGTTCTTTCCTTTCTTTGTTATCACAAATAAAGGAAAGTAATTGATTTACTGATCTTTTAACTTTGTTCATCAGTCATTACATCTGTATCATCACCTTAATATCCATGAAATTAATCAAAATAATATAGATAACTTTTAATTTTGTTTACATTGTTTTAGATGTAGACAGAAATGTATTTTTTAACTTTAAATTTTGTTTACATTGTTTTAGATGTAGACAGAAATGTATTTTTTAACTTTAAATTTTGTTTACATTGTTTTAGATGTAGACAGAAATGTATTCTTTCTTTTCTGCTAATCATGATCCATGGTGGTCCTGTCGGTAGTTTTCTCTATTCAATTTCTTGGAAATTCCTGTCGTTCTATTGTTCTCGTCAGGTCGTTTTTCCTTTGCTGGCTATCAATTTGTCACCCTTTGTGAAAACAAGTCATTGGAACCTGAAATACAGTGTTAGACATGATAGACAACTAAATTAAGAGATTTTTTTGAGAACCTACAGACATCTAGGATATCATATGGACTGAAATAAAGAAACCAACACTATCCATCGTTGTGTCCAAGCCAATTAGCACACTCTAGACTCTAGATCAATCTTTTGAAGGGGGACAGTTGCATAAATCAGAAGTAGCATAAAGAGTGGCATTTGAGGCTTTAGAAAAACTACAAACAGAATGACTAAACTGTTGGACACAAATTCATGTTGAGGTTAAATCACTTGTATGTTTTATCCAATTATCCTACATGCTCTCTGAAATATGTCTAAAATTTAAAGTAGCAACAAACTAGGTGCTCTTCGTTAGGAGAGAACTAGTAGTTTGGGTGTTGTGGTTGATTAGGCATGGAAGTTAGAATTGGATTTACACAGCAAAATCTTAAACTTTCGTATACTTTTAAAAATATTTCTACCAACATAATATGCAAAAGACATAAAAGAAAATTATCAATACCTATACAGTTTTCACATTGAACAGCCAATAAAACAACTCTAGCCAAACGAGTTAACTCTAACCAAAATGGCTAATGGATCTCAAAACTCATAAGTGAACCTAATTAGCCACCACTAAAATGTAAGACTAAAAATTTTCAGGAGAATGAAATTGCGCTTACCCACAACCAGACAAATCCATTGAGCTTTTGTTCACAAGAAATAATTTATTAGTTGAGTCTTCCGTGAACATATTTCCAAAACCAAAACTAGAATCCATAACCCAGTTACAGTGAAAAATGAAAACTGAAAAATAAAAGGTTAAATCTTTAATTTGGTTCTTATTATATGGATTCCTGATATGGTCCTTAAACTATTGTACAAACCCCAATTTAGTCTTTACTATCTACCAATTTGCCCCAAATTAATCATTCCATACCAAAAAAAAAAAAAATTGACGTGTTTAGTATTTAATAGCGAAAAATAATAACTTAATGGTAGAAAATAATAACTTAACGGCTACGTCTTATATTAATAACGAGACACGTCAATTGTTTTTGTATAGAAGGAGCAACTTGAGGCAAATTGGTAAACAGTAAAGACCAAATCGGAGATCCGTATAATAATTTGGAGACCAAATTAGAAATTTTTTTAATTTAGAAACCAAATGAAGAGTCTATATAATAGTTTAGGAACCAAATTGAAGATTTAACCAAAATAAAATTACCCAAATGAACTTTGTTTTGTGTGGTCCAAAACTAAAGGGGTAAAAGTACTTGTAATTTCTCCCTTTACCTTAATGCAATCATTTTCTTCCAAGAAAAACAGAAAAAGACCGTATGATGTGATATCACACCGAGAAGGGGTCGTAATGTAAAAAAATAAAATTACGGGACAGAATTGGCAAAAATATGAAAGTATGAAAACGTCGTCGTTTTAAGTTGATTGATACTCTTCTACTCCTTCCCGTCACAATTGCGACTTTCAGAATCGAAGGAAAATAAGAAAGTGAAATGTCTTGGCTAGCTAGATCCATTGCGAACTCTCTCAGGCTCGATGATGATGATGATGACGCCGGCGATGAGAACAATGCCGTGGATTCAGGACGACCGATCGATTCAAAATCGCACCAATCATCGCCGTCACATTCCAATCCTCCATCGTCAACGGGTTCCGACTCTCCGCGCGGAGTCAAAGAGGACCTGTCGGTGCTTACCAAATCCCTAAGCCGGCAGTTCTGGGGCGTGGCGTCGTTCCTCGCCCCGCCTCCTTCTGAGCCGTCTAATCAATCCGAGCTTGATCGGTCATCCGATCCAGAGGCCTCTGATCAAGATGTGCTGGGGGGAATCCGTAGTGATTTTGCCGAGATTGGCGGGAGATTCAGGACCGGGATCTCGAAGCTCTCGAACAATATCGCGGTCTCGGAGATTACTAAAATTGCATCGAATTTCCTACAGTTTGGATCAGAGGAGGAGAGTCTGGATAAGTACAAGGATGGAAATGTTGTTGGTGTGACCGAGGAGGTGGTCTCGTTCGCCAGGGACATTGCAATGCATCCGAGGACTTGGCTGGATTTTCCTGTCCCTGACCATGCTGACTTTGATGGTATAGTTTCCCTTTGCAATTTTAATTTAGTTGATGTCAATTTTTTCATAGAGATTAATGTGTTTCAATCAAAAAATTCTAAGCATCTTAGTTCTGTTTGTTTATTTAATGTATGTGTGTTTTGATCGTGTATGCTCTTGATTTTGCAATTATAAGTCCAATTTGGAGGTTCAGGTTTAGGAAGGTCTCTGGCACATGTTTGCTATAGATGTTTAGTAACTGTATCTAGAGTGGTGTCAGAACAATTAAGGAACTGGTCTTAGCACTGGCAGTTAAACTGTTGCATTTACTAGCTTATTTTGGACATTATTTTTGCCTCCATATTAGCTTGTTTATCCATTAGGAGTTAGGACCACTATATTCTCATCCCTTAGCTCATTTATATACATGTCTATATGTGAATCAAATTGATTTTCCAAGCATCTTATGTATTTAAATTTCAGATTTCGACATGTCTGATGCACAACAAGATCATGCTCTGGCTGTTGAACATCTTGCACCAAGATTGGCTGCACTTAGGATTGAACTTTGCCCAGAATATATGAGTGAGGGTTGCTTTTGGAAGATCTATTTTGTACTTTTACACCCTAGACTCAATAACCATGATGCAGAGCTTCTGTCAACTCCCCAAGTAAGTTGGTTTTTTATGGCATAGTCAAAGTCTAGAAAACGATTAGATCCAGTAAATTCCTCGGTTAAGATTAGCAATTGAGGAGCCTGCTTGCTACTGAGATCTGTGGTGTATGCTATATGGTATTGGTATTACCACCACAGACTTGCATGTGGGTCTCCTTTAGAATTGAATATAATATTTTCCCTGGTCTTGCCCCCGCTAAAAAGGGTTTGCTAGTGTATATGGTAAGTTAATTGGATTCAAAGCCCTGCCTTCTTCGCCACACTAACAGAAGTGATCATGTTTGGAATTAGAAACAATAATCACCCTTTTCTGCTTTCTTGATTAAAATTCCCTTAATTTCTCTGAGCACCATTTTCTTCAAGTTATCCTGGAACATCCTTTAACCTTAATCAGGGAAGTCTTTAATAGGGAAATATGGAAGTTTTTAAAGGGGGGTGATTAGGGATCGCCTATAGCTTGCCAAAAGAAAATTTGGAAAGCTTAGTGCTGCTGTTGGTTTTGTTCTGTATGATTAACAGTTAATAGCCTCACCCTTGTCATTTTTATGACTACAGCAGACTCTAGGGCTGTTCAAGAACTTATATGAAAGAACCAATCAAAGAATTTCATTACCCAAAACCTTTCCTTTTTGTCTGCTAACTTCCAGTGTTTTGAATGCAGATAGTGGAAGCAAGAGCCCTTTTGTCTCAAGGGGTACAGAGCCGATTAACAGTAAATCTAGGACGAGATCAGTCTGGAATTGTCACATCTAATGGAACTGCTCTTAAACCACTTCAGGAGTCTCTTTCTATGCCTTCCACTCAATTTGAGTCAGCACCACCCAAGATATCTGGGACTGAAATGGCGCCCTTAAGCACAGCTGTGGAAATCGAAACAGAGAAGCATCCAGTTCAGACTACTGAGATGCCAGTTGTTGACAAATCTGTTATTGAGGAACAGCCTGTAAGGCAGACCAAATATCAACATTCAGTGGCTGGTCCTCCTCCTGTAGTTTTGGATGAGCAATTTGATGAAGATGGTGATGACTGGTTAAAAGAGGAAACTTCAGAAGTAGTTGGCTCTAGTAATACAACAATTCCAATTGGAAATGACGAGGATGTTTCATTTAGCGATCTGGAAGATGATGATGGAGATGTGCCCACAAGTTACAAGAAAGTGACATCTGGCTCTGATTCTTCAATAAAGGACTCACCAGATTGGGTTCAACTTGGCACAAGCTCTGGTGACTCAATTAAGGATGTCAGCTGTGTAGGTGAAAAAGGTGCTGGCGCTGAGCAGGTAAGTGCTTGTAACTCTGAAACCAAAGAATCCAACGACTGGCTTGATATTGAAGAGATTATATGAAATAAGGATGACACCATAAAACTAAAACCCTCTAAGATGCTTATGTTCTTCATTCCTTCTGCTTATATCAACTTTGTGAATATCTGTTGTTGCTTTTCTCCGGTAACCGTATATTTGTACATAAAGCCCAGTCAAACTCAGATAATTATGTACACATAACATTGTATCCATCTACTATTTGAAAGTTTCTTTTATTAAGTTCTACATATGCTGTGTCATTGCTGCTCGATTATTAATATAAACGGTAAGGATGAGGGACGTGATTCAGTGTAGGATGTGCATAATTCACCTTAATGGTAGGGGAAAAAAACGTTTTGGAGCCTGAATATACCTTTTGGAACATCGATTTGTATTTTATTACCTACGTGGATGGCAGTGGAAAGTGAGATTTCTTTTGGATTTGGGCGTACTGATTTGCCTATGTGTCGAGCAGCACCAAGAGTAGAAAATTAGGAAGAAAAAGACTGTCTCCTGAATCCTAATTATTTACGTACTTGTGTACAGAAAATTGGAAAAGCTAAGGTTGTTTTTTAATATGGCTGTAGTTTTAAGTTTTTTATTTTAGTCTTTATAAATATTGTATTAAAAACCAAAAGTAAAAATCAAAAATTTGTTTAAAATAAAATTTAACATTAACATTAATAAATATTAACTTGTTTAATAATATTAAAATTATTTTTATTTTTATATATTAATAATCATAATAATATATTACAAAATACATAAAAGTAAATGTTTTTTTTTTATTTAATGTTAAAAAATTTATAAAAATCAAAACTAAAAACTCAAATTATAAGCATACTATACAAGGCCTTAATGTACAAGCTTGAATGTAGTTCCTGAGCTAAGAACTACTCAGGATCTTATTAGGCTGAAATTGCCCGAAAGGCGCTCGAGCTGAGCCCGTAATAGATTTCCTAGCGACATTCTCGGCCTCTCTTCTACATTACCATTTCTGGTTCTGCCGATCCAAGGCGAAGACTTGTTAACCACCAAAACGGATCCTCCGATCTCTCTTCTCACAATTTCCACTGTGTTTGGATTCACATCATTCCCTGATGCATCTGTAACATAGAATGTTCCAACAGCTTTGTCTGCCTCCGTCCCAATTTCTGCCCCGGAAATGGATAACCCATTTTCTCGGAACACTCTGGTCACATCCGAGAGCAGCTTCATCCGGTTTTGAGTCCGCATATCCAACCTCAGACCCTGTTCAGGAAATATTTTATCTTAGGTTAAGTAGGTCAATTCACTGAAAATAATCATGGGGTAGAAATTGTTTTAGAACGATGACATACATGGGAGACTCTACGCTCAACAGCCGCAATCAAACACTTCCTAAGTTTATGCCTCTCATCCTCTGTATTCAAAGTGCATCCATCTTTCTGCCTTATGAAATATTCCTGTGAACCAAAATTTAAACACAATTGTCTTTAGTCAAGCCGTTTGTGAAAATATTTGTTTCGCTGAAGTGAAAAAGAATATGTTAGTTTACCTGATTAGCAATGCAACCCTTAGAGCTAACAGCTGCGTGGAACACTACATACTGCATATCCGTCAATACACAGACCGTATCAAATAACAGCTTGGGTCGGTCTCTACAACTCACATTCACCACTGAATAGCCCTTCTCATTGCAAGACTCTATTGACACATGAGTCTTGCCACATCCGTTCCACTGCCTGCTGCAACCATCACAGCCACGACACTGTTCATAATCCATGTCAGCATACATCAACTGGTGCAGCCGCCGCTCTGTATGGGTCCTGCCTGCCGTGGGCACTGTCAAGCGGACACTCCTCCGCTCCCAATTCTCGTGATGGGCCCCAACCACATTCTCCATATGGTATTGCACTTGCGCCAGGCGGTTTGGGTCCGTAATTGCCCCATCTTTCAACCCTTCTTCCACGTAGATTATGCACGCCACTCTGGTATTATGGGTCCACGCAACAGCAGCAGCGACCTTGCAGCCTAATTGGTAAAGAGCAGCCGCAATCTCTGACATGAGACCCGGTCTATCCCTCAACGTCATCTCTATTGCCGTATGCTCCGTTGAAACGTGGCGTGGCCTCACCTCTCCTTTAACACAACTTTCTACTTCCTTAGTAATCCCACCACTTTTACTTGCACAAATCGCCTGCCAAATGTCACCTTGTCTAGTTACATTTGAAAAAAAATCTTAAACGCTTAAAGTTTTTTAAATGCTGCCAAGATAATTAATATATATTTGCATATTATATACCTGTTGAATGTAATGAATGAGGCTTTCATCGGTAATTTTGTTGCCGAGCTGGTCGGTCACGTGGAATACTGCAAGAAAAAGGAGAACCCACATGGATTACGGCAAGGGAGTAGGGTGACTCATATGCACCTCATAAAATGACCACTTCACATAATTAATAATAGGATTAAAAAAAAGGACGAGGTAAAGGTGATGTGTGGGTACTGACCATCCATGAACCAGCCACCGTCTGAGGAAATGTATGATTTGGAGATGACAAGGTCTAGGTCTGTCAAAACTTGGACCATTTCCAGTAAAATCCCATGTCTGTTTACACTATCTACCTGCATATACATATAGATTTACAAGTCATTTTCAAGCTTTAATTCCCATAGAAATTGAAGTCTGGTTTTGTCAAAGAACTCAAGAGGCCAACTGGGCAACCTAAGGTTGGGCAGCTTGGGCTTTTTTTGGTTACAATTCAACCATAAGCTTTGGTCAGTTTAGTTGAGATACAGTTAAAAGTGGAGACCAGGTAATGCATCAAACAATCGCTCCTCACCTATAATCCATACTATAAAAGAGAAACTATTATATGCGGTAGTTTTAATATAAGATTTAATATTATTTAATAATTTCAATTATGTATTTTAAATTATATAACATTTTTTTTATAATTTTATAATTATTATTTAATAATTTTTTAAAATTAGGACAATTTGAAAAATAAAAAATAAAATTATCGAAATTTAGATTTTAAACTTATAGTTGTTATTACGTTTTTCAAAGAAGTTATGGTTATTGAATACAATGATGGTTGGCTACTACTTAACAATTAAGATAGATGATAAGATATTAAATCGAACCTTAACAAGTGTGCAGTCCTGGCATGTTTTGTTATCTATAGAAACCCTGCGAGGATCAATTAAACCATCAATGGTTTTCTATGGAGTAGTTATGCAAAGAAAAAAAAAAAGAGGAAGGAAGAATTCTAATGGTGTTAATTTAGTACCAAGGAGGGTGAATTCTCTCCATTAAAGATTCATACTCGGGATCTACATAATGCTGATAAGAAATCGCCATCTTCGAAATTTGCAGAGCTTCAATATTAGATGAGTACCGCAGCCTCCCGATCACTGTAAATTTATACACACGCAGCTTTAAACACAATAAGAAGTTGAATCAGACTCCAACTTGATAACTAATTAACTTTAAAAAAAAAAAGTTTCGAGTTCTAAAAAATAACAATCGTTAATTAGAAATCAAGAACCGGCAGGAATCAATTCAGTACAAAAACAGGACGAATCTTTAAACCCTTGAAAATAACATTGATTGGAATTATGTTCGATGAAATACAGATTTCAAACAATTTCAACATGAGAAAGAAAATCAGCGTCTCACCTTGTCTGAATGAATGAAATTAATTCACATCCCAGGACCCAGATGACAGAATGGGGGAAGACACACAGCTTCTTTCTCTCAGAAGAGATGCTGACACGTTTTACCAAGAGGGTTGGATGGAGCTTTCTTTTCTTTTGATTTCCTTTCTTGTTTCTATGGGGTATAAAACGTTTTGTTGGTATGAGAGACACAGGTAGCCGAAACAGATGGAGAGTCCATATAACCGGAATTCTCTCCCCTCAATATTGGAAATTAACCCGACGTTATTGCCTGCCTGGCTGGTTAATTTTTCAAGGACAGGGTCAGGATCTCTCTCTCTCTTGCTCTCCTTCAACGTGTTGGCTTGGGATTGAGGCCTTGAGGGCTAGGAAGGAGGAGGGACTGAGAATGTCGCTGCTGATTTGCCACGTAAGGAAAGAAATACAGGTGGCAGGTGGTGCTTGCTTACATGGGTGTTGCGGCGGCTCCTTCTCGATAGAAACAAACACGCGTTCGGTTTTGTGGCTACAAATACATCCTCCTGCAGTGATTTTCATTTTTACCGCGTGCGCTTTTCTTACGGCAGGTAATCTAGGTAGGGGTTGGCAAAACCGGTTTCGGTCTAAAACCGAAACCGATTTTGAATTAACAGAAAAAATTCGATTTTAAATTTTCAAACCAAAACCGAACCGAAATTGTTATAAACTAATCGGTTTGATTACCGATTTTTATCAATGAAATTGGTTCGGTTTCAATTTTTATTAAATAAATATTAATTAATTATTTTTTTAATAATAAATTATATTTTATCACATATTTTATCATATTTT